TTTGATATGTAGGATCCCCTTGATCCCTCATTGTGCATGTTATATTTTGAGACTGATCATAAAAACAAAATGGCTAAAGGAAGAACTAAACAGATCTTTCTCATATTGCAATGATCGATTCTATTTCTTTCACATTAAGTACTGTACTAGTAAATATGTGAAATGACAAACTCACTTTGAAGGTTGGCTTTCATACACATCAGTATTAAGTTTAGATCAAAAGTTACCTCAAGGTGCATTAACTGTTAACATGACTCGATCAAACAAATTAGAGGAAAGGAGAGAAAAGATCGAACTGACAAAGAACTAATGAAGATGGTACAAAGGTGGGCGCCAAGATCCCTCTGGGATCTCTTGTTACTACTTCAGAGGATAATTCTCACCACCTGGGGAGAAGGGACGTTAAAAGTTAAAGGGAAATTTTGAGTTAAAATATTATAGACCAGAGTCCATATTCATGAAACTCCTTTAAGCGATGTGTGGATGTAGTAACTGGGCAAGGAAATGGAATTTTATTTGATGTGTTCATTCCAATTGAGTTGCCTCCCCTTCAACAGCAAATTTTTGTCAGCTAATCTGATGATTTCTAAGATGCTTTGTTTAGTTTGGGCTACCTCCCTTCCTACAGCAGTAAAGTGTTGTAATTTACTTCATTTTGTTAATTTTCCTGAAATTTCAATACAACATCAGATTTTGAATGTTTTGTAATAAATGTTCATAGAAATTACTTCGAAGTTGCAATAACTACTCTTACCAAAAGACACATAACTATTTGTACTGGCTTTTCTGATCACTAATCACAGAAATCATTCCGTTTTAATGTGAACTACAGAAGTGGATGTCACATACAATAAACTAGGCTTTCCCCCTGGTGAAATCCTTATATATCAAAATGTCTGATTTCTTGATTTCATTCTTCACAAGCCCTCAAAAAAAAAAAAAAAAAAAAGGAATTTACTAAAATTGGCTATGAAGTATAGCTCGCACCTTGACAGTTACAGTTTAAATATGTTAAAAGTAAAAAATAATAAATGTGGTTTTTTTCCTGAAAAAATCTCAAGGAGGTGCTCTATGACGAATGGGCACTGAATTGTCTCTGAATATAAGAACGTCTCTTTATCGAGAAATTAAAGATACTCAGATCAAACATAGTCATAAAAATGTGTTCAGTTTCATAACTTTAAGTGGAATAATGAAAAGTTCAAGCAATGAAGAAAAGTCTACAATTTCATTAGTGATTTAAAGTCAACGTAAGTTTGATGATTTCCTCACCAAAGTCTTTGGTTTATTTGCCTTTACCCAGGAATACTTTCATAAAATACAGGCTTTGAATTTGAAAGTATTATGATAGACAAAGTACAGAATTTCCTGGAAATTGCTGATAAACTTGGAATTATCTTTTTGGTGTTTGTGTTGTATAATAATAAGATAGCCCTGCGGGCCCGTTGTTTGTACAGTGGTGATACAGTAGTGGAGAATATCAGTGACCGCAGTTATCTCTACTATCATCTTTTGGTAGTACTTGTCTTAACCTGAAGTGTAGAGATGTTATTAAATAACATGAAGATTATTTTAAAACAGATACTAAATCTTCTTCTTCTTTTTTGCATCCCTTTGATCATTAATGTTATGAAATTTAAGTGTATGAATTTTTATTCCGTTATCAAATCAAATCAAATCAAATATTTTCCAGACAAAAACCTTGAATATTGTTTTTGATTAAAATACTTTCCCTAAATGGTTTCTGTCAAT